AATAAATTATTCAAGAAGAATGATTGGTTGACCTGAATTTTTATTAGGTCAGGTCAGGTCAGTTCGACCTGTTGACCCGACCTGACATCAACCTGAAAATCTATTGACTCAACCTGAATTTTTAGGTCAGTTCGGGTCAGGTAAACAGGTCGACCTGACCTGATTCAGAGCTCTATTGCCATTACATTTTTTGTATCAAATAATCGATTTTGCATCATTTGAACTTAAGAATTTTTTTAAAAAATTTTATTATGCTAATGGATTATTTATTAATATATAAGTATTCACAGATATTCATCAAATAATCCACAGATATTTACATAAATTTGTAACACATAAAATGATCTGTCTATCTGAATATTTGTATTATCCGTGCAGATTATAATTCATGGATCACTTCTCTATAGCGCGTCATATTAATACTAAATCACATAATTTACCTGTGATTATACAAAGGGTATTTTTCTTATATTTACTATGATACCGGGACTGACAATTAGTGTGATTGTGCTTATAATGATATAGTGACTAAAAAGGGTATTTTATTATTTAAAAAATTAAGACTGAGTCTTGGTATGACTAAAGGTGAGGAGTGACTATATAGGAAGTGACTATAAAGGGGATGACTGTATTCCATATTTTAGTTTTAGTTAAATATTTATCTGTTAATCTTTTATTTAATTGAATGTTTTTAATTATTTATTAGAATGTTACGTGATTTCATTTCTATGAATTCTTGACTCTACAACATTAAAATAAATGTAAAAGATAAAATATAATTTGATTATAATAAAAATAAATAATAAGATAAAAATAAATAATATAAAAATGTTAAATAAATTAAAAATGTTAAGTGTTAATAATGTTAATCATTTGTCAATCTTTGTGATACAGTAAAATTGATTTCATATAATATTAATTTTCTTCTCTAATTTGTAGCTTTTGCAAAAATTTCATATATTTTGTTAATTAAGTCCTTAAACTTCTAGGATTTGAGATTATAAATTGTCTTAAAAGTTATCTTCTTAGTATATTCAATTTGTGCGATTCTTAGAGTTTTAAAAAAATAATAAATCTGTTTAGAGGTTTGTCGATAGTATAGAATCATTTGATTTCTATACTGGATTCATTCAGCTAGACCTAAAGTTTCTGTTTCCATTACTTGTCTTAGATAAAATACATTAATTAGAACTAACACTCTATTCTTTAATCTGGTAATTCGTAATAAAGCTCTGTAAATTATTTTGACTTTTTATACAATTGAGTTAGTATCCATATAAGATGAAGGAATATTAGTATCTGCTAGAATATTAACAGCTATTAGACCATCTTTAATTTTTTAAAATAAGATCATCATGTTGAAAAATTTTGTGAAATTTTCAAAAATTTCAATCCTTTATATAATAATTTAAGATTTTCAGTTTTAATGATCATGATAAGATTTTAATAAGTTTCTATTTGCAGGTATATGTAATACTCTTCTATCTATTTCTCATATCTTATAAAATTCATTTATTAAAACTTGATAGATATAATATGATCCTTTCCATTTTGGATTTAATTTGCCAGACCATTGTTTATCTTTAGCTGCATTATAATAAAGAACTTTATCTCCAATTTCAAATTGATAAAGATGATTAATTTGTCTATTATAACGATTCTTTTAGTTATATTATATAATTGCAATATGATTTCTAACAATTTCTCTAATTTGTGATAATTGATCAATCAAATTTTACAGATGTTTTGATAATGTGATATTTTGATTATCAAGATCGTTCAAGGATAATATTACCTCATGTACTAAATAAAAAGGAGATATTTTGTAACAGAGTGTTTGCTTGTACAATATGCAAATAAAGTTAATGCAATTTATAGATCCCAATTATCTAGATCTTGTGCATTTTTTGCTAAAGATTCACATAAGATACAGTAAATCATTCTACTAAAACCATTTGTTTGAGAATGATAAGATGTTGATAATAAATGTTTAATCTTAAATTTATCTATCAATTTTTTGATCATCTGATTGTTGAAATAAGTTTCTCTATCAGAAAGGATCTTTGTAGAATATCTATGATGACAGATTATATTTTCATAAATAAATAGAGCAATCTGTTCTACAGTAGCTTCAAAAACAGCTTTAGCTTCAGGCCACTTAGTAAAATAATCGACAGCTATAATAATATATTTGTTTCTATTTGATATTTGTAAGGATCCAACAAAATCTATACCAATTTGATAGAAAGATGCTTGAATTGGTATAGGGTATAATTCCTTATGTTTTTTTGGTATGCCTCTTCTTTAACAACTATCACAAGAACGAATATATTCTCTAATACTTTCATATAATTGTGATTAATAATATCATTCTTTGACATATTGAGAATCTTCCTTTAAGAATATTTCATCATTCTCGAAAATATCAGGCATAAATGTACTAACTGTGATAGATGATATGATAAGCTTAGATAAATACAAATGTCAAAACAATTAAAATTGATGCAAGCTTACAATTTTGAAATTTAGTTTCAGAAATTCCTGTCATATATATTTGGAAATAAATGGGTAAAAATGATGAAAAAATAAATATATATATTATAAGAATTATTAATGTTAAACAAACCGATTAATTGTAAATACATATATATAATTCATGAAAATATCGGATGGATAATACTAAAATGCAAAATATAGTAATCAAAACATCTTTTTGAATGACAAGATATTAAAATGTTAGAAAAAATAAAATTATATAATAAATTAAAATATTGAAAATAATGTATACCTTCTTTCATTGAACGTTTTCCTCCTGTTAAGAATAAAAAATGCATATGTAAAATAGATAGAAGGTAATGGACATTAAGAAATATATATTTCAATAAATCATTGATAAAGAAAAAGAAAATAAAAAAAACACAGGTTAGTAAACATTTCAAAACAATATTATATATGTCACTCAAACAAACAAATAAACAAAATGGAATGAACGGAAAATAATTTTTTGTATATTTTTTACGCAATTTGTTCATTACCTTCTTTTTCTCCAAATTTTCCTAGTGCTTCTCCCCACTCCTTCACTTGGTCTTTCCAATCGTTCACATTTTTTTTCCAATACTTCTTTTCCTTGTTCAACCTGTTCATTCGTCCTTCCAACTCCGTCTTCTTTGCTTCACTCAAGTTCCCCTCAAATAATCCTTTCCTTCTTCCCATTTCTTCAACTTCACCTCCGCCTTTTCATACTCTCTTTTTGCATCATTCAACTCTTTTTCGATTCTTTCGTATGTTGCCATTCTTTTAGATTTAAAACTTTAAAATTAAAATTTTTTAAAAAAATTGATTTAATTGTTACAGTTAGTCGGTCTTATTTTTGGGACAGATCAACAGGATCATAGGATCGGACTTTTTTAATCATTGAATCGCATGATCTTAGATTCAAAATAAAAACATTTTGCAAAAGAGGATTAGCTTTATACATTATGCACAATAATAATAGTAATGCGTATGATACTAATAAAACAGGGATTTCCAATTTAAGATAAAATCGCTAGGGATAATTTGTGCAAAAAGAAAAAACATTTGATCGATTAAAAAACAGGTTATAGGAGACGGCTAAGGCAACATCGTGTTTAAAAGGCTGGTTTCATCAAAACATTTGTAGAAAAGATCATATAAAAAAGTGACAAAGAGAGAATTTTCACATTATTATCTCATAGGCGACAGTTTATAATCACTTAGATAAGTTTCATGGTAGCTTTAACTTGTGATTTCAATTTTTTATCCATATGTAGATTTGTTTTTTAACAATTTAATAATTTGTCCGAATCAGTCTTTTGGGACTAGTGTGAGTCCAACCCTGCATTCTCAATTACCTCGTAATCTCGTGCTGAGAAAGATCATAATCTCGAATTCCCACGCATTTAGGTCCGTTTAACATCTGGTCCCATAAATACCAATCGATAGTTAAAAGGATAAGCCCAGATCGAAAACTTTAAAACAAAAATAAGTTTACCCTAAAATATTACCCCCCTTTTTTAATGAATAATTAATTATTTACGCCGCTTCTTGCCAGATTAAAAAAGATTTTTTTTTTCCTCAAAAAAAATTTCAAAATGTCTTGGAAAAAAATCAACGGTACACTTACACAACTGGCTGTCGGTCGTGGTAATAATGTTTGGGGTGTCGATTCACGAGATAATGTAATGCAACTACCGTTTATATTTCACATGTCGTTTCTCCTGTAAATAATATTTCCATTTTGGTATTGAAATAGATTTATCAATTCCATCATAAAGAATGGCATCAAATTGAAGGTAATGCTTTCAATGTCGGGGTCGGTAGTGATGGGACAGTTTGGATTGTCAATCGTGATGAAGAGATCTTCACTCGAGTTAATAATACATGGTAAGTTTTCTATCATGTTAGTATTCCTCCTACTTTGATATTAACTCTCTATTATAAAAAGGGAAAAAGTCGATGGATCACTGATTCAAATATCCGGTATTATATAAATTTGTGACTTTTACGAGATATCCTTGTTCCTTAATTACCAAATGTTCATTTATTTATTTCGTTAGTTGGAGACAAGAACAACGTTTGGGGTATCGATCGTTATGATAATGTTTTTTACCGATCTGACGATGATTGGGTCCAAGGTAAGTGTAAATACATTGTTGCTACCTTTATTAGAAAAGTTGTTCATGAATCATTCTTAAAAAATTAGTGCCAGGATCCTTGATTAATGTTTCCGTAGCTTCCGATGACACTGTATGGGGTGTTAGCAGAAGTAGGAATGTTCATAGATGGAACGGCGTGTATTGGTATGAATCATCTATCATTCGTTTACCCTTCCTTTTTCCCTTATTTACTTCCTTTTCGAAATAGGGAAGAAATTTGTGGTAGGCTTAAACAGATTTACACTGGCAACGCGTCATTCGTGATCGGCGTGAATGACGACGACGAGATTTTTCAATTTCGTAATGGAACCTGGTTCGAGTGGGATGGTAACCTAAAATGTGTCGCAATTAGTATTGATGGTATTCTTTGGGGCGTAGACAAGGATGATGAGATTTACACTCGTCAAGATGGAGGAATCGGCGGGCCTGTTTTCGGAAGTTCATTTAAATAGGGATCTTTTAGTAATATCATGCGTAATGCAAATTGCATAAATTGCATAATGGGATGTAAAAATATTTCTGCGTCCTGTTTTTTTTGCAGAAAAAAAATAAAGCTGAGCCATAAAAATTGATGTGATGTGATATTTTTGTTTTTTAAACCCGACCAGAAATGATTTTTTAATACTAAAAAAAAAAAAAAAAATTATATCTATCCCAGTTCGCTAGTCTACTTGTAAAATGACGTGAATGGACTATGAGTTTTTTTTAAATTACAATTCAGTCGAGCGTGTTTTAATTAATACATTTAATAATATTTATAAAAATGAATTATCGTGTAATAAAGAAATAAATAAATAAAAAAAAAAAAAAAAAGTAAAACAATTTACACAGTCTGGTTTGGGGAAAGATAAATATCGAAGGAATCTCTAACAGGAGGTTGGGACACATTTCTATCCGAATAATGATCGTTATTAGTATAGGGATTATTATATAAAGAGACATCATTAGTTATTGTAGGGGGAGGAGGTAATAAAACAGAGAGATTATCGGAAGAAAATGTTTCCCTTCTACCATCGACGGTGATTTTAGAGGAAGGACGAGATCTATAAAACGAAAATCTTGAATTTAAAACAGATAAATGTTTTGCGACGAATCCGGGCTGTGAATTAGTGGGTCCGTCAGATGAAAGTGGTGAGTTAATTGGTTCACTATTATCAACAGGTATTTTAATCTTCTTCCTATAAGCACCGATGAAGAGTATTGTTACCACTATGATGAGCATAGTGAACCCAATAGAAAGTGATATGGTGATCAACAACGATTTATATCTCTTCATAATCTCCTTCTCTTCTTCATTTAAATCTGTGTTATCAACACAGATTCTTTCGGTGATGTCTTCAGGAACATTCACGTCACGTTTCCCACAAAGATGAGTGAAACATTGGTTAGAAGAATTACATTTATTTCCAGGATCGAATAAATTTTTACAAATTAAAAGGTCTTCATCGCAAAATTGAGTTTTTAAAGGACAATTTCCAAGGTAATCAAATGAATTATACCAAGCGGCGGGTTCACGATCCTTAAACCCCAAACCAAACTCACTCTCACCCAACAGCTTAAATATTAATTCCTTGATACCAAGTTGATCTGGTGGGTTAAATAAATTACAATTTGGATTAGGATTTTGACCATTATTCAAAATCAACCCGTCTAAAGGACTAATTCTCCAACCCATTCGACTTGTCAATCCGCATTCGAGTATGTTCCCGTCCACAAAGCAATATGGTTCTTCTTGTGGGCAATTTGTTATTTCACCAAATTTTGCACATTTATCAACGTTCATCGGGTCAAAAGAACTAGTGGTAGGAATTGGTAAACCTGTAGAGTTCTTATGCAATTCATGTTTATCATTAATGGACATATCATTGGAATCATCAAATGTATTAGCGCTCCCAACAAGTCCTGCTTGTAATATTATAAATTTCAATAAGGGAAATAGTAAGTAAAAAAATTTATTAAGATTCATTTAATCATTTATAATTGAGAGCGCTAAAAGCATGTAAACGAAAAAGAAAAAGATATGTTCACCACTCATTTTTTATCATTTTATACATTTTTATACACAATACTTTATGATTTGAAACATTTGAAAATCCAAACTCCTGATGGACAATGTCACTTACTAACTTTCCTATTTTGCTAATTTGGATAATTCCAACACTAACCACATTTACGTAAGAAAATTCCTTTCCAGAATGTAAAATCTTTATGACATCGGGCACCTCATCCCACATTTGGAACCATTCCGTTATCGATGGAACCATTTGTCGAAAATAAGACACCAATATATCTCGTTCATAAATTTTTTATATGTATAATTTTGATATTTGATATTCGTTCGCATCATAAAAAATTTAAAAAAATTTTATAAAAAAGAAATTGTATAAATCGATGATAAAAGTCTTTATTTATTTATTTATTTATTTTTCCTGATCTTTTTGATCATTTCGAATTCAATACCGTTTATTTTGAAATTTTGAACGGAACCTTTTATACCATTCACCATATCATTTATGTTAAACGCGCAAGTTGTACCATATTACGGACAATAGCTTTGTTGAAACAAATTTTGGCATTTTTTTTAGATCGATCAGTGTGACAAAAAAAAAAGATCTGATCCACAAAAAAGGTCAACCCGCGGTGGCTGGTGTTGTATTTGTCACCATAAAAAAAAAAAAATATATACCTTTTCTATAATACAATGGATAGAGAACAAAATCCATAGTATTTTTTAGGAATTTGTATTGTTAGATTTATACCAATTTAATACATTCATTATCTAAATATTTTACCTTTTCCGTACAATTTGTCATGCAAAGGAAATTGTAAAAAAAAAAAAAAAAGAAAGAAAAAATAATTTAAATTTTTGCAATGTGAATGGCAATCAATTAAAAGGCGATTCCCATGATGCTACAACATAGAAATTTGGTTCAATAAAATACTAAAAAAGTGAATCATAACCAAATAACACACTGAATGCGCACTTCCAACATGATCTGCAACAAACCGTTCTATTTTTAAGTGGAATACATGATCGAAAACAATGGTTATAATGATTATTGTTTGAATGATTTTTTTTAATATTTTTAACAAACCTTTGCATGGAACAAACAACAGATGACGAACAATCTTCGTACCACCTCGGATCGTATAAATATTTCACCTTTTATCAAAAAATATTATCGTACAACCGACCAAAGGATACAACATTTTTTTTTTTTTTTTTTCTTTAAAAAAAAAAAAAGAAAAAAAAAAAAAAGGATGCCATATTGTTATTGCTTTGACACGTTAGTCAAATTGTTGAAGAGTAAGCCTTCCAACTCTTCAAAGAATCCTACTCCAAGTTTACCATCGGGATGTATGAAACGAATCTTTTCACATGTTGATTCAAAAGAAGAATTGTTTTCTTGCCTTCTCGTAAATAAATATTGGTGTAAAAATGTTTTACCTTTGTTATGGTCGAATCCATTTAAAGGTTTAGAATCTTCCAAAGATTATTTTAAATTGATAAGAATGTACCTTGCTTGTCTCGATCATAATGAATTGAATTTCTTGAATTCTCATTTAAAGCATTATAACATGTCCCTTTCAATTCCCGTAAAACCTTTATTCGATTACACTTCATTCCTGGAAGAATTTTCTTATAAACGATTGGAATTGGGCGTTTCATTTTTCCTTCGTGAATGGCATAATAGAGATCATAACATCGATTTTAAGGAGGAGATCATCTATTATTTATCTTCGTCAATTTATAAACTTTTTATAAGTCAGGCCGGAAATTTAAGATCCTTCAAGATCGATCAACACTTTCGTCGGTTAGATATTCCAGACATTCTAACCTCGTCTAGAACTCAATCTATAATCATCTTATCGAATCTCACCAAATTTCAAATTGATTGTAAGAAACCCATCAGTGATAATTTAAATAATTTCCTCGGGATCATGCCAAAATTTTGTACCAGGATCACGTCAATGGAAATTAAAATTTCCACCTTTGAATATAAATTTAACATCATTCAATCAATTGGGAACATCATTAAGGAACAGTCATGTTTAGAGGAGTTTGGCATAACTGGACATCATTGCGTTGAAGATTTAATGCCATCCTTACTTTCAAAGACCGAAACCCTGACCATCGTCAAATTCGAGAATGTTCATTTCACCGAATGTTCTTTAAGTTCATTGGCGAAATTTAAAAATTTAAATTATTTGAAAATTTGGTATTGTTCTGGTTTGGGTTCAACCTCTTGTAAAATCCTATTGTGTGGGGAATTTCCAAATTTAACCAGGTTACAACTGGGTTCGGATGATCAGGACCTTACTTTGGCCTTTCTGGATAAAATTGGGAATTCGTTGAAACAACTGGGATTAAATGTTATCACAGCCGAAACGGTTCATGCAATCTTGACATGTTGTGAGGATTTACTTGATTTACAAATTGTTGACTCTTATTATCCGTGGGAAAATCCTTGGCTATTTAAGTTATTTCATGGATTAAAAAGGTTAGAAAATCTGAGCATTTCAATTAGCCAACAACAACAACAGCACTATAAAAAGATGATTCAACGTCCACGAATTGACGCTTACGATTTACCCGATACCCTGAGATATCTAAAATTAGAATGTGACCTACCCATTCAACAACTTAAAAGATTTTTGAACTTGCATAATGAAGAAGCAACCCCTCAATTATCCACCTTGATTATTAATGATTCGAACTTTAATTATTCTCATATGGAATTAATTAGTGAGTTTGTTAAAAAGAGTGGAACTTTAAAAGTTTTGGGAATTGGAGGACAAGCAAAATTGAGTTGGAGGACTTTAAGAGAACTTAAAATCTTGAGAGATAAATATGGGTTGCACCTGATTCCAAAAAAGGAATTGTGTCAATACTAGCTTCCCTTTTCTTTTAAAGATAATTATTTATGAAGTTGGAAAAGAAAATTATGATTTAAGATTGTTTCAAGTAGCACAGGATTCGACATTTAAGATTTCAATGATTGCATAAAAATCATGTAAACAATATTTAACAATTCATTTCAGTAAGACGAAAAAAAAAAAAAGTATATATGATTCCTCATAATCTATTGTACATAAAAAAAACCTTCCCATTTTAATTATATAATCATTTAAGTTTTATTTTATTTCCCTATGTAAATATTTTTATAAGAATTAATTTAGTATTTCGATATTAAGAACACAAAATTATTTTGTAATTTATTTTTAATTATTTTCATTTTATTTTGTCCAACAAAAAAGCTTTTATATAGATTTAAGACATTGTTTTTTGTTTTTATCGAACAAAAAAAAAGAAAGAAAGAAAGAAAAAAGGTTAAATAATTAAGCGAGAATATTTAAGTCCAGGATTCCGAAATTTATTTATGTAAATAATTATATTATGTATATTATGTGTATATATTATAAAAATATGTATTTTTATGAAATAAATGTTAAAAAAAAATAAATAAATAAAAATAAATAAAAAAAATTTTAATCCACCACAAATAAAATATATGATAAATAAACTTCTGCCATTTATTATCTCATTATCATTATCATTATCTTAATTATTGATTATTATTATTATTATATGATTATTATATTGTAATATATTTATTATTTTCCATTAATCACTGCTAACCTTCCACCTAAATTTCAAGATAAACGCTAATCTTTCCGGCATAATATGATAACAACATTGCTGCAAACATCAAACAAATTTCTTGTAGATTGAATTTCACGTTTTCAGAAATGATGAATATTTCATTGTTATCGCTATTTCTTTTGTATTTTTCAAGGGACTCGACATGTTTTTCTGTTTCATCCTCTAGTTTTTCGTATTTTCCGTCTAATCGTTGATACGTTTTTTGTAAATCTTGTGAATCTTGTGGATCTTGTATATGTTCTAAAAATTGAAAATTAAATAATTTAAATTCAATTGAGCGTATAAATAAATCTGCTAATCAAAATTCTAATTACCTTCTTTGAATTGAAATGTATCTGGTGAAACAATTCTTCTTGTATTTATTGCTGGGATCCGACTTAAAGCTTCATTATTATCTGTTATCTGATCGTTTAATGCATTAATGACAATATTTCTTCTATTCGCAACAAGTGTGGAATTTGCAGAAGAATTAGTAGAATGAGCCAGACGTGTCTGATGCGTTAGTATTACGGGTTCTTCGGGTTGAGGGGGTCCTTCCGAACGTTTTGTGATATTTTTTATGATTTCTTTTGGTATAGGACGCCTTGTCGTCACTGGTTCTGGCACTGGTTCTGGCACTGGTTCTGGTTCTGGTTCTGATTCTGGTTCTGATTCTTCTGGTTCTGGCACTGGTTCTGGCACTGGTTCTGGTTCTGGTTCTGATTCTGGTTCTGATTCTTCTGGTTCTGGTGCTGGTTCAAATTCTTGTTCTGGTTCTAGTTCTGGTTCTTGTTCTAGTTCTGGTTCTGGTTCTAGTTCTTGTTCTGGTTCTGATACTGATACTGATTCTGGTTCTATCACCGTTTTGATTTCATTGTTTGCCTTTCGAGATTTTGTCACAGGAATTGCGCCAACTTCATTCTTAGTATCTTTTGGAACCTCATTAATTACTTTGCCTTCATTATAAGTCAATTTAAAACCTCGAGATGTGCTTTTCGTGATCGTAATATGTAATTTTTTTGTGTCAACTTTTGAGGGAAGCGTCAATCGAATGGTATCCGAATTGTCCGGAAGTAATTCAACCTTTGCACTGTCGGGGTTAACCGTTAAAATAAACCCGTTTGGATACATTTTTCTGGAGAAGCGAACTTCTGTAACGCTATTACTTTCAGCGACAAGCGACAATTCACCTTGAAAAGTATTTGGGTCAAGATCCTCTGATATGATCAAAGAGGTAGATTTTAATACATAAGGCGGGAATCCGATATCGTGTAACATCTCGTCGATCTTTTGAATGACCATTGGAGTCCCAGTTGAGAGAGATTTAAGGATAGAAGTTGGGATGGAATCAATTTTTACATCACTATCAACAATATAAATAAGACTTAATGTTTTCGTTTTTCCTTTATAATCAAAGTTTGGAACCATCTGCCACCCGGCAAAGGTGATATGAGCGCGAACGTATTTCTTCACTTCAGGAATTGCCGAGTCAATTATTGAAGTCGTAACGTAAACAATTTTACCGGTTTCTGGATCATGTTCAACCGTTCCGAATAAAGCAAAATCACGACCACTACGAAAATGTTGAGATACAATTTTTTTAAAAAATAAAATTATTGGAAATGGTCATTTAAAGGAAATTTTATTAAATCTTACCTGATAGGAAACGTTCCCTTCATTGAAACTCTGCTAAGGTTCTCGGTATTACTTAGGTTTTCTATATTTTCACCACCTTCGAAACGATCATCCCCTATTATATACGGTGTTAAACTTAATTGAAAATTTTTACAATTGTAAAAAAAAAATGAAAATATGAAATTGGAATGAAAAGAAAGATCACTTACATGATTTTCGTAATGATAAGTTTTTGAGAACCGACAAACAATCAAAAGCGGTGAACCCACCAGAAAGTGTATAATCTCCACGAATTATTGGAAATGATCTACCTTCAACATCTTTCGTGTAAATTTTAACACCTTTGCTTTCGTTATAAAAAAGCCAACCATCCATGGAATTTACATTTTCCTTGAATTGCGCAATAGCTTTAGTTATGACATTCTTATATCGATGCTTTTTTTGCGCTGGTTGAGGTGATACGAAAGTTTCCTTTCTATCATCACGTAAATATAGTGGTGATGGTACAGATTTTTTCTTTTTACCATTGAGTGAAGTTAGTGAAGTTTGAGACCGTAAGGATGAAGTAGGAGGAGTTGTCGGTTTATTGTTGATAGGCCGGCGGGGTGTGGTTGCTAGTGTTGGTGAGTTTTGACTTTCAGGCGTATCTGGAGATGAAAAATGTTTGATTACATCATTATCATATGAATTATCTGGAATCTCTTCTATCGTATCTCGTTTTATTGTTCGAGGGGAATATGTTGGAGGAACAATTTGTCTGGTATATGATTTATTATGTGATTCTATTCTATCTTTTGAAACATTATGTTTCAAATCTTTATGAACGACATTCACACTATTAAACGATGAAGCAATACTAGGTCTACGGGAAGGACGATTTGAATTCGTAGCACTACTGACTGTCACAGGAGTGGGGCCATTCTTTTGTAAATATTGATCGATGGCGTAGATGACAAGTGGACGTCTTATTAAATATCTTCTAGATACTACCGAAGGAACCCAACCTCCAGCTTTGCTCTGAAGTACATAAGTAATTTTTGTACGAAGCGGATTTTGAGAAATTGGCTGAATAACCCAACCATTGAGGTTTAGGTGAGCACGAATTCTCTCCGAAACCCGAGGTACTTTTGGAGTTTGAACTGAGGTAGCAGCAAAATAGATTGTTCCATCTGTAGTGTATTCAATTTTTTCCACCAAACATAAATCCCTAGTTCTATATTAGTGAAAGGATTGAAATGAACGGTATTAGGAAGAATGCAATGATACATAGTCTCAAACGATAAATCAAATAAAAAATCAATTAACTACCTGGTACCAGCCAATACTTGCATGGTCATATAGGTTAAACTTGTCGTACTGTCTAAATTTTCAACGAGGTTGCCCTCCTCGTACCTGGTTTATCGCGGTAAACTCGTTAGTTTATTTATCGTCTTCATCACGTGAATAAGTGTATTCGTCACATGGATAAAAATTTGCTTACCATGGGTCCCAGAGTTTCCTCATTCCAACGACGGCGAAAATCGCATGGGGAGTAAAGTTCTCAATAATATGTTCGCTCATAAATATAGGTAACTTATCATCGTCGCCATTCTCATTTTTACTGAAAACGGCGACACCTGATTTAATGTGAAGAACCTTTTTCCAGTCAGCCTCTTCAATGATGGACTTTAATTTTGTCAAGGCTTGCTCAGCCTGTTGAATATGATATTCTGGGGTTATTTTTTCGGGATCAAAATTCATGTAAGTGTTCTCTTCCTCATCTTCATTCATCAATTCATTGGTTTCTTCAGTAATTCCTTCATCGACATAATCATAACCATTGAAAAAATGATGTTCAGACATTTGTATTTCTATCAAAGAGTTAAATGTCAAGTTATTATTTATTTTATTTAATCGAGAATTTTTTTTTTTAAAAAAAAAATAAAAAAAAAAAAAAAAAGAATGAGGAGTTTACGGGTAGAGCACTCTATATTTTTTGTTTGCTTTTTGTTGAAAAGAAAAACTTGAAAGAATGAATGAACATGTCTTATATTGGGTTCATGAGACCATGATTTGCAGAATGTAAGTTATGAAAAAATGGCAGTATAAACAGTTATAAATGTTATCGGAAATGGTTAGATTCGTTGATATTGTCACATGTTTGAAATATAAAAGATTTCCCTAAATAATTCTATCATTATTTTATCGCAAAAACTTTTGATAGAAAGGCGTCGAAAATGAATACGATCGGCAAGATTCGCCCAAAGATTATAAAACTTCCTTATAAATCCTCTTTTCTAGATAGAATCAAAAAAAAAAAAATCAGGATTTCTTTATATTATCGTTTTTCCATGCGCCGTGATTTAGTTCAGACACCTTTCGGTATCACAAACCTTTATTTAAATCAATTCAAAGCAATTTGTAATTTTATTAATTTCCCCGTCGATCGCTCCCATCCTGTTGCAAATCGCCCCCCAAAAAATAATGCAAAATTAAAAAAATGTCTCGATTATCTTTAAGCAGATACTATACTATAATAATTTCCGATTCCCAACTACTTTTTTTTTTACGGTTGAGGAATTGCTGAAATTGATAATTTGAATTAACAATATATACATTTCGCGTTTCGCGACTCGCATATTTTTTTGATCTTATTGGTTGACTTTGAACCAATAATTTTAGCAAGCCCCTTATCGAATTAAGCTAATCAAGCTAATAAGATTTTCAAAACGTGTTGATCACCTTCATTAACTCGCATGATTTGCGTAACGCTACAATGGTATAAAGACAAGTTTGTAACCGGGTAAGTTCCTATTTCTTCTCTCTCTTCCCTTCTTATTAAGTCGAAAAAAAAAAAAAAATAAACATAAAAATAAAATATATTAATTCAATTATTCGTTAGACAATGACGAACGTAAGGTTACCTACGGAGTGTTTGTTAAAGATTTTCGAAAATTTTAGTCCGGAATATCATTTTTGGAATGAAGATTACAAATTATTACATAAGTGTATATTAGTCGATCGAGAATGGTGCATTACAGCGGTTTCGATCCTTTGGAGGGAACCTTTAGATTGGATTCACTTTAGCATTGGCACAAGTCGTAACGAGGATCGACTCAGCTCGATAGTGTCAACTTACCTTTCATGCTTACCCCAAGAGGTCAAATCAAACCTCATTCAAGATGGGATCGACTTGCCTTTAAATTACTCCAACCCTTTATTTGATTACCCAAAATTCTTACAAAGTCTCGATTATGGAACTTTATATAAATCAATAAATGGATGGTTAAAAATTACAAGACAACTCAGGGAATTAAACAAATTAAATGTTACGTATAAAGTCTTTCAGGTATTTAATTCACTCGCCAAACTTTTCATGGATAAATGTCATTTAAAAAGGCTTCACTTTTCCAAAGGGGCAAAGGTGGATTTTATTTTACCCTTAACCACTTTACCAAATGCGAATATCTGTTTGGCCAATTTGACCAAGTTCATGTGTGAAGGGTGCACGATGCCCGAGATCATGTTTGCGGCGGCAAAGATTTGTAAATATATCTCGGAATTTCAAATATTTTGCTGTTGTAAAGATAATAAAGGGTTGGCGACGCTCATCGAATCACAGAAAGTTCCTTTAAAGTATATCTTCATTAAGGCTACGAAGAGTGGGAACTTTCCATTTTTAGGAAGAGCCTTAAGGAAACGGGTTCATTCGGTCAGAGATTTGTGGATTCATGGACATTGTTCAATGATGGATACGTTTAGTACGAGCCATGATTTACAACACTTGTTCATTTATCCTACCACCAATACCATAACCGTGGATCGAAAATCCATGGAGAAATTCGTCAATTCGAAATTCACTCAATTAAGGGAATTAGAGATCTCGTTAAAAGTCATAACCTTGAAACAACTTTGCACATTGATTAGAAATACGGGAGGAGGTTTTGAATCGATCCTAATATTATGGTCAGAACCTCCAGACGTGGAAAATTTAACCTTGCTTGCAAAAACCGTGATACAATATGGGAAGAACTTAAATTACTACGAAGCTCCTTTCTCACATGAGTCAATTCATTACTTGCCACTTTTGTTTCAAAGTTGTCAAACATTGGAAGTGTTACACATACTTAGTAAAGAGGAGGAGGAAGGGTTCATATATGATATTAGTGACATCTTTTCCAAACTTGGGGAAATTGTTCCCTTGAGCTTACAAAAATTCGTGATAAATCACACTTGGGATGTTTCTGCGGAAGCGTTGGAAGCCTTTTTATTTTATTGCTCAAAGAGGTTAAAGACGAAATTGGATTTTAATCTTGATAATACAACGAGTGATCATGATTTGATTTTATATAGGTATAGTTTGAAAGGTGTTTGTACGTTTGGATCTAATGATTTTGCCAGTGATTATTACATTTGTTAATTTTTTTTTTTTTTTTTAATATTATTGAAAAAAAAAAAAAAAAACAAACAAAAAAAAAAACAAAATTAAAATTAATATATAAAAAAAAAAAAACTAAAATAAAAAATTATTCGACTAATTTTATAATGATTGAACCATCGTATTTACTACTAGTAGTTTGATCGCTAAATGCTGATGATAAACGCTTACTGCTATTATCACTATAAGTGGAAGTGATTTGATTTCTACCCACTAAAATGGACCCATCGCACCTACTAAGCATGCTATTTGTACTATCAGTTTCGCTACGTGCGGTACTTGGTAAATATTTACGCGGAATTATTATCGAACCATAAGTTCTACTAAATGAACTATCCAAACTATATTCGGACATGTATTTCCTTCTGTTGGCTTCCAAATAACTCTCACATAATGAATTATTACGAGAGGATTGTTCGTAACGAAGATAAGAAGGGGAAGGCCTACGAAAAATTACGATCGTGCCATCCGTCCCATTAAATTCTGACCCATCGTTAAATAAATGAGAGAAACGTTTATTAAGTTCAACAAATTCTTTTAACGACATTTCTGCGTGTATTTCAGAATGTCTAAATTCACCATCTTGGAATTCCGAGAAATCGTTGACAATTTGCGAATTCCTTATTTGATTCAATTTCGATAGAGTTAATGATAATGATGACTTTGAGGATTCGCTGTCGAGGTTGGATTGGTTAGGGTTAGGGTTCGTGTTGGTGGCTGAGGAAGATCTTGTACATAACCATGCGGTTAAGATCGAGGAGAGAATGTACAACGCGGAAATGAAAAATCCAATTATCAACGTTACTAGGTAAGTTATGCAACCTTGACGCTGATGATAAGGTTCAATTGAGCTACAGGTTAAGAAACTTGAATTGTTGAATTGTGGAGATAGTCGTAACAAACCAAAGATCATCCATGCATTCATCAATATGCTAGATGGATTATTTTTACGGTTTAAAGGTTAGATTATTTGAAAAATGAGAGAGAAATATAAAATTTTTTAATAAATACCAATCTAACATAATCTCGTATTTACGCGACCCTCCTCTCCATCGTTGATGAAATCGAAATACATGAAGGACTAAGTTTAAATTTTAAGAGTTATTTTCGCAACGTTAATTCAAAAATTATATATCTATATATATACGATGTGATAAATTACCGCTCATAATTAACCCTAGGTTCATTACCAAATATTCAAATAACAATTCAACTTTGCTTGTTAAAAGAAAGGAAAAATAAAAAAAAACATATCATTAATATTTGAACCTTTAATGCTCGTTATTGCTCATTTAAAAGTATCTCATGCTTACTTTTTATATCCCGTATCGATGAAATATATAACGCCAACAATTCTAAAGATTTCTTTATATGGTAATTTAATGAAATAAGTTACGTTTTAACAATAATTTCTAAACGAAACTATCACACAACAAGTCGCACATACCCAAAATGAAACATGTCAAACTACTAGCGCATTGTAATATCCGAAGTGTGTATAAAAAGGGCCGAAACATAATTTCGAAATTCATTGTTCATTCAAGTCATTTCACGGGAACAAAGAAAAAAAAAAATTTATTTTCAAAAAAAAAAAAAAAGGAAAAAAAAAAAAAAGAAAAAAAAAAAAAGGAAGGTGAAGGGGGCTTTAAAAGAAAATAAAAATAATCAAAAAATAAATAATAATTTTCTTTTTCTCTTTTCTCTTTTGGTTTTCCTTTTTTATATATATAATTTTATTATATTATTTATATGTATGTGTTTATGAAATTTTTTTGATTTCACGTTTCAGAAAATATATGTAACGTAAATAAATAATAATAAATATGATTGACCATTAATCGGACGATTTTTTTATATTATTTATTATTGTGATGAAAAATTTTTGCCATTTTGATTTTGTTTTTTTTGATGACAGAATTTCTTTTTTTCGGTTTTTTAAGCTTTTTGATTTCCATAATAATCGGGTTTCTATCCGAATTGGTCTTGGCATGTTATATTCAGGTAAATAAAGACACAAATGGAAGTAACCTATTAATCAGTAGCTAAGGATGATGTAATCATGAACCGGGGGCCGGCACTATAACAGAGAATTTCGAAAATTGAGATTTACCGGTTAAATCGTTTTAAAAAAAATCGTTCTATTTATTGATCACGCCGTCAAGGGCAAGAAAATAAACGGGAAAAAGGGTTAGTCCGTAGCTTATTTTATCAAACAGGTCATTCATTATTGATTAACGATTCTTTTGTTGTCTAAAAGTATCCTTCGCGTGTGATTTTGACGCTCCTTTTTTATTTTTCTTGATTTTTGAATTATATTATCTTATTGCGAATATTTTTTCACCATTGTAAAAACGTAAACCTGTTCCTTTGATTGTTGGAGTGCATAAATCATAAAATCATTAAAATCATTATAGATACACATTTGTATGTCTTTCGTGTATATCCTGGTTTATACAAATAAGACTTGAGGCTTTATGGTCTTGTAATGACGCCAATGAAGCTCGTAAAAGGAAATAATTGTCAGATCTTAAAGAAAACAATCATGATCAACACGTGCTACTCAACGAATATCATTGGTCTTTGTTAAATGTTACGCGTAACCATGTGGTTAAACAAATTAAACCATTTTGCACAAATTATTTAAAATTTTTTAATTTATTAATTTTTTATCAAATTACTTTGAGCTAAAATGATGGCGTTACAACGCCTGCTATGATGATTACGATGAAATTGGAGAAATGAAATTATTCTTTGAAAGTTTGGGGGCGAATTGAAATTTCTCCTCATCCGTCGTCGTCCTTGGTGGTGATGATGAATTCGGTTCATCATAATCTTCCGACATATTTTTAAAACATATCCACACACTTAATACTGATAATCCGAATGCTCCTGCGTACGACCACATCATGATCATGCTTAATCGACGAAACTTGCAAGCTGTCATGAATTCTGGTTTTTCATAATCGAAATCTGATGGGCACATCAACGGAAGCTTTTGATTTAATTCAAACTTTGTGTATAAACCTATAAAAACGAACAAAAGATTTTTTATTTTGAATTTCTGTCTTGTGAAATTTTTTTTTTTTCAAAAGTAATTTTTAATTTATTTACCTGTAATAACCATCCAAACTATCAATAAAAGACTATGTATTATGATTTGTTTTCTCGGATGCAAAACGTTCATGGATCCCCTGAGCATCGCGCAAGTGAACGTGACTATTCAAATTTCAAAGATAACGTTCAAGAAAAGAAAAGAAAAAAAAAAAAAATTCTGAAAATAAAAAAAGATTGCTTTACCATCCTTTAGAAGGGTTCCCATTATCAATCCCAGATAAGCGTATTCAAGCTTGTTCAACGGAATTTGAAATTCAAGTTGTCGTAAGTATATATACTTCGCAATGACTAAAAATTTCATATCGTAAACATAAATTCGTCATCTGCGGTGATTAAACATAAAGAAAAGATTATTTTTACTTACAAGCTCCAAGACAAACCAAATTTAATGACATTAACCCAAAAAATTGGAAAGCGAAAAGTATGTTTCGTAGATTCATAATTTGAGAATGAATTAAGAAATGAAGGTGAAAATAAAAAAGGTAGATCGGTCAGGAAATAGCAATCTCACAAGAGACGTAACGTTATATAAACAATTAATTAATTCTTGTATCACTTTTTATTGGTATGGAAATTCTTGGTAAGAGTTCCGAATGACTTGGTCATCTTATATATAAACAGATATTTAAACCGTGTGATTCAAATAATAGATATATTAAAAATTCAGACCTGTCTTGTGAATAACGGAACAACCAGTTTAAAAATTTGCTGGATTTGGAATTCAATATTTAAATATTTAAAATACATACATCATTGTTCCGTAATGAGATTCCGCCCTTTTTTTTATAAAATGGGTTTACGTTATTTAGGAATATCATTTCGTTTTTCCAAAGGTGTTTAAACTTGAATCTCATACTGAATAGGAAGTACACACTGGGCTAACATAAAAAAAAAACCAAACTCGTTGGAAGGAACAATCACATCACATGGCATTCACTCCATTATTATCTTCCACAGAAACAGCAGTATCGTATCGCCAACACTTTTTTCACCCCACGTGACCCTATATAATTTGTTGTCCGATAATGCAATGTCACGCGTGTTTCATAAAATAAATTATGTCCTGTTATTGACTAGAACGGTTACCGTTCCCAAAATTCCTTATTTGTCACTGGATAATTTCGGCCATTCAGTGATGCCGGCCAAAAAATCACGTGGGATGAAAAATGTGTTGATTACGAGCAATGGGGTCACCTGGTATGACTGCGCCACTACGCCACATCAAGATAAATACAAAATAGGGATAAGATTTCTCAGGTTACCTTCTTCCGCAGCTTTTATCTTTCTTTCCCATGAAAACTTTGTTGAAAAAAAAAAAAAACAGATTATTTATTTATTATATAATATAAAGTTTTAAAAAAGAGTATAATACTTTCTTTAATAAGGAGAGAGAGATTATTACTACATATTATTATTATTATTATTATTATTTTTGATATTTAATTGAATCATTCAGAAATCCGATTCAATCGTTCATTTGTAAAAAATGGAATCAAAATTACCAACCGAATGCCTTTTACAAATCCTTGAAAATTTTGGCCCAACGTACAATGAGTGGGATGATAGCTTTAAATCGTTACATGCTTGTATCTTGGTCAATCGCAAGTGGTGTGAAGCCGGACTTACCATACTTTGGAGAGAGCCGATTGAATGGTTACATTCAAAAGAACACAATAGAAGTCGACTCGCACCATTGATATCAATTTATATTTCTTGCTTACCTCAAGGTTCGAAATCTCAAATCTCGGATGGTGGGTTAGAATTATCCTCTTCAACTTTGAAGTCGGTATCTATCGACTATCCGTCCTTGTTGAAGGGGTTGGATTATCAATCTCTCTATAATGCGATTGGATTTTGGATGAACGCGAATGATATCCCGGAAGATGAAATATTCCGAGAGGAAATGAAAAATCAAGTGCTGGAATTTATCTACGAAATGTTTATGGCTCGGTGCAAAATTCTGAAAAGATTCAGTATTTTTATGAAGGCTGGATATATATTAAATGAATATTACCTTTTACAACTTCCTTTTGCATCAGGCGCAGATCAAAGTTTATCAAACATCACGGAATTTTCATGTAAAGCTTGCCTTTTCTCACAATTTATGTATCTCGTAGCTCAAATATGCAGGAATATCAAGAGATTTAATATAGAATGTTGCTGTACGGATAATGGAGGGTTGGCCAAGCTCATAGAAATTCAAGAGGTTCCTTTGGATTGCATCTTGATAAACTTGAAAAGTAAGAATATTCCTCTTGTCGAAAACGCCATCAGGAAGAAATCCCATTCCGTTACGGATGTGCGATTGTTTGGATATGATATTTTATTGGATTATTTTAAAGAAAGTAAAAACATCGAGAGAATGAGGTTGAAATTAATTTC